CGGGGACACGGGCCCCGCAGCCCCCGCTGCCCCGCAGCCCCCACTGCAGCGCACGGGGACACGGGCCCCGCAGCCCCCGCTGCCCCGCAGCCCCCGCCCCACCACCACGAGCAGCCGCCCCGCCCCTCGCCCCGCCCCTCGCCCCGCCCAGCCCCGGCCCGCCAATGAGCGGTGCACACGGCGCGGCAGCCGTGTGGGGCTGTCCGCAGCTGCCTGCTCGGAGTGAGACTGCGGCGGAGGCCGCTGTTGCCGCCACCTGGCAGCTCTGCGGACAGGTCTGGCTCGTTCTGGGGTCTCGCGGGATGTCGCTGCCAGCTGACAGGCCCGCTAGACAACGAGTTGTCGGGACAGGCCYTCCGGTGGCAGACGGCAAGGGGCCTCGCCACCAAGGCCCCCCRCCGCAGTGCCTGCCGGGAGCTGTAGTCCCGCGGCTGCGGCGCCAGGCAGTGGGAGCGGCGCGGCGGSGGCAGGGGAACTACAAGTCCCGGCAGGTCGCGGGCGCCCCGTCCCCCCACGGCAGTGGCGGGTGGCGGTGTGCGCGGCGGCGCCGCTGGGAAGGCCGCCGCCATGGACCTGTTCGGGGACCTGCGGCGCATGAACAAGCGGCAGGTAGCGCGCGGGGGAGGGGGCGGGGTCGGCGGCCCGGCACGAGCGGCCGCCCCGCGGCCCGCGCGCCCTCACGGGCTCTGTAACTGCCGAGGAGCAGGCGGAGGAAGAGGAGGTTTTGAGGGCGACTTTGAAGGCTCGTCCTGTGACAAGCTGCGTGGGCCCCGTTCCTGCAGAGCAGCGGGTAGACCCCAGGAGCAGGAGGGGCCCCGGGGCTCCCAGCGCCCCGTTTGAGCGGACGAGGCCCGCGAAGAGCAGAGGCCGCAGGGCTCCTTGCACCGAGGGCCTCCCCACGGTGCCAATAAAGGGAACAGGGTGGGCGGGAAGAACCCGCCGCAGCAGGGACTGGTAGAGCAGTTGCGTCTCAGTGCAGAACGTGAGTTGAAAGCAGCAGAAGAGCTTGCACGTGAGGAGGTTGTGTCTGAAAGCGAGAGGAAACGTGGCACACCCATTCCTGCTCTTTCCCCAGCTCTTCTCTCTTAMCAGAGAAAACCGTCCCGAGCGCAAGGGCTCCTGCGCATTCTGGTTTTCGAGGCGCCCTGTGTTGTTGTTCATGTGTGTTCTGAATACTTCTCACCTCGGGGCCCTCGGGCGGTGTCCTCGGAAGCAGAGGTGGTTTTTGCTGCGGCCGTGGGCAGGGGGCCGCCCTGGCCATCCCGCTCGCCGCTGCAGCCAGCCCTGCTGCCGCCCAGGGCAGCTCACGGGTCGCACGCGGCACCGCAGCCTCCTGAAACCCCTCTCCTGTTTGTGTCTTGTAGCTCTATTACCAAGTCCTCAATTTTGCCATGATAGTGTCTTCAGCCCTCATGATCTGGAAGGGGCTGATTGTCATTACTGGCAGCGAAAGCCCAATTGTTGTGGTGCTCAGGTAAGGACACGGGAAGGCCTTTTGCTGTGGTCTAGGGAGGGGATTATCTCCTTTTGCCTCCCCCCTTGGATAGATGTAGCATTTAGAATATCGCATASTCAAAGCAATGCCCAAACACTTGTTTTCCTTTAGCTGTGCTTTGGGACCTCTAGTCAAAGCGCTTTTATAACTACAGTCTAATTGTCTTTGGGCTCRGTGGAGCAGTAGGTGTGTGAAACCCCTCTGTGAAATACCTGGAACCTGGTGAAACTTCTATGTGTCCGTGGAAACAAAAAACCAAAACAAAACAAAAAAAACCTAGCTTTAAAAAAGCACAGCACACTTGCTGAAGGCACCGAACGGCTTCTAGTCTATCTGTTAATTTCTTGTTTACCTACATATATTTATTTTAGAATTGTATTATGGTAAAACTCACTTTGTGAGTTAATCAGACATATCYATTGCTTCTTTCTCAAAGATATCTTTTTTTCTGTTATGTAAAAGCTCAGTCGTGCAGGCCCTTGTGTGCTAATCGGGTAAACAAATGTATGTGGAAGATTCAGCCAGTGAGAGTCAGCCTGTGTCTGTGGGGAATATATAGGAAATGTAGGAATAATAAAGGGAATTGTTTGTTCATGTAATTAGTAATGGAATCTGGAGTGCTGTTTTRAAGGTTGCTACCAAAAGACACTGCAACTAGCTTTGGAAAAAGACATGAGTTTTCCAATCATGAGCAGTAATCACTGCTGCAAACATCCGTCTTGTTTGTGCAAGTCAGACCCTTTCTACACGGAGCAGTGCTCCCTGCTTTGTGAAAGATCTTTTGGCTTTTCGATAGTGAATTGGTTATCTGAGCCAGAACAGCTCATTTTGTTCCTCCCAATCCTGGTGTTTTTCTGTACAGCTCATTTGTTTTGCCTATGCGTTGAGGCAGCAGGGTCAGTGCCTCAGATGTCTGTATACTGCAGTTGAATGGGTGAAGCTACAGATTGCATTTAAATATTGGATTTATCTGTATGAGTTAAATGCTCGTTGCTTTTGTGGTTCTTTCCATTTACTGTGATGCCAGTAATCTTCCCTTTCTGTTTGTTTGCAGTGGCAGTATGGAACCAGCTTTCCACAGGGGAGACCTGTTGTTCCTAACAAATTTCCATGATGACCCAATCAGAGCTGGTGAAATAGTTGTTTTTAAAGTTGAAGGCAGAGACATTCCAATAGTTCACAGAGTAATCAAAATTCATGAAAAGTAATGCAACTTGGCCTTTTCATTGCTCCTAAATATAGTTTCCTTTTCTTTGACTTTCAATTACATTTTAATGTGTTTTATGAGAAAGGCAAATGAAGGATACACAGTTAGATAAAATCTGTCTCTCTCTGCTCGCAGTCCTGAGCACACTTTTTGAGACCTGGCTCCTGTGCTTGCCTGAGTTTAGTACTGGAACTCTGCAAGTCAGCAGAGCTGCTCAGGTTCATAGGAGAAGCAGCACCAACAAGGGGTGCAGTGACATGAGCTAAACACATCATTTCTGTAGTTGGTGGAAACGTGTACGTGAGCAGAGTCCACTTCCATAGCAAGTGCTGCAGGACTGGGAGTTTGGTTAGGAGAAATAGCTTCATCTAAAAACAAATCTCTGGAAGGACATGAGAACTCAGAATTAGATGAAACCTGACAAATAGGTGGTCTTTTTAGTGGCAGTTTTCCATAAAAGAGAGATTTGRCTCAAAGTCTTGCTCTTTTGGGGTATATTAGTCACAAAATAATTGTGATAATTCCTAATTAATGAATTAATTCAATATTAATTCATACTCAAGAGCACGCACTCAAGCAGGGTGTTCTTACTTCTTTTGCATGTATGCCAGCATGGTAAGCAGTTCATTCCCGGAYACAAGGGAAGCAGTTCCTTTTCCACTGCTGCACAATGAAAATATAACTGCGATGTGGCAAAAACTGAAACATTTTTCTTTAGGATGCTCTAGTAATGATCTGAATGTGTTTATCTTTCAAGTGGTGTCTGTCCTTCGGCACTTGTTCAGAAAAAATATGTATGTCCAGGTACAGCCTTTTTTGTTTGTTTTCCATTTAAATACCTAGTCAGTCTTCAGAAGAAACTCCTTGTCTCTTAATATCCTTAATTTCAATTAGCAACTTATGGAGCAAAATCACTTGAAGAGTACAAACTCAATAGTTTTATTTGGTTTATACTGCTGAAACAAAGTCATATATGCCTAACTGTACATATGCCTAGTGCCTGAAAGGGACTGAAACACGGCAGGTCTAGCAGCAGTGGTTACGTCATGTAATGTTCAGAATGAAGTGTAAAACATTTTGTCCATTTGGAATAGCCAGGAAAAGATGGGATTTGGGCATGTTTGGAGTTTATAACCTCTGTTCGTACAAAAAGGTTTTTGAGCTTGATGATGGACTCGTTTTTGCCTCACTGAGGGAGCAGCTGGGTTCTCCTGAGCACCCTCTCTGGCCTCATGCAGGGGTTGGGTGCCACCCACCGAACCACCTCCATCCCTTGGGTTTCTGCACAATTCAGTAAAAAAAATGCAGAAATGGTTTGTGCACATGATGTTATTTAAAGACTTGCTTTTTTATTATTACTATTTTTTTATTATTACCACAGTAATAGATTCAGCTATAACTCAAGTTTTTCCAGAAGCCATATTGCTTAACAGGTAAACAATAAATGACCTGAAATTGTAGTGCAGTCTTGGTGACAGATAACTGAATTTGATGCAGGTTTGCATCACTTAAGTGTTTAGGATTTCTCTGCATCAAAAGGATTCCATAGTGCTTCATTTTGACAATGACAAAAAAAAAATACATTTCGAGTTAAGCAAGTACATTAAACTTAAAAATGAAAGCAGTACAATAAAAAAAAATTAAAGCAGTATATTGTTATATATGAATCCATTCCTAAAGGAAGATTTAGGGCATACCTTGTAATTGCTGAAGTTTGTTGCTGAAACTCAACTAAGTTAATTCACTATTATCTGACATCACTTGATGTTATTCAACAGTTTCTATTTAAAAATTCAAACCCTGACCTTTTTCTCACTCATTTGAATGCTTTGTAATCATTTTTTGTTTGCTTTTCTTGGTACTTCATTTCTGTTCTGTTGAAATACAGGKTTTGGGGTTGTCCTCATCTGTACATACTGCTTTGCTGACAGAGTTCCACGCCTGCTCTGGATGGAAAATACTCCTTTGGTGTTCAGAGTGTAATTGCTTACCTCAAATGACTATCTGGGAGAGTGTTTAAAAGAGCACCTCTTGTTAACATCTGTTGACTCTGTCAGTAGAGTTAATGCTTAATGGTGTTTGCTAAATAAGCAGGACAAGCGGCACTGGAAGTAAATGTTGTTATCTAATCTTGTAGAAGTTTTCATCCTTATTGTGCTTTGTAGATGCTAACTGACATTTTTAAATTAAGTGGTAGTTAGTTTATCACCTCATTGCCTTCTAGAGAAAATGGGGACATCAAATTTCTGACTAAAGGTGATAATAATGAAGTTGATGACAGAGGCTTGTACAAAGAGGGCCAGAACTGGTTAGAGAAGAAAGATGTTGTTGGAAGAGCGAGAGGGTAAGTAGTGCAAGGTGTTTATATTCTTGGTAAGAAATATAAAAAGAAAATCAAATCAGTTTCCTTGTTAGTACAAACTAGGCCTTGTCTGGTAATCATTTAATTACCATTTCCTTTAAGAAATTTGAAAATAATTTACCTGGAGATGTTGCTTTCTGTAGTCTTCTCACTAATTTCGAAATTGGGTCATTTATTTATTTATTTATCTACTCAARAACAAGGTTTGAGCTTTTAGTCCCATGGTCATTGCACCCTCCCCTAGTTGGGATGAAAAGTTAGTCTTAACTGAATTCGTTAGACAAAATCCTTATATGTATTTTCCTTTGGTCAGAATTGAACTTGTTTCCCATTTCAAATATACATATCAAGAGGAGGCACTGAAAGGTTAAATCCCAGTTTTACRTGTTGCTCTACATTAGGCTTTTGCTGCTGCCCCTTGTTATAGTGACACTTACTTACCACTTCTGTGGTGCTTACACTTCTGTGGTGTTTCTAATGCTGTAAATACCGCACAGCAAGGAGAGGGGAATCCAACATCTTGCTCCCTGCCTTGCATCGTCAAGCACACATGCTTCTTAATGGTCCTGCAGTCTCCCTGAATGTTTATTTCTTTGAAATCAATTATCTAGAGTAATGAAATTTCAGTAGAACTGAAGTATCTTCATGTCATTTTTGAAGGTTAATTTTATGTTGTTCTGTTTTATCAATTACAGATTTTTGCCTTATGTTGGTATGGTAACTATAATAATGAATGACTATCCCAAATTTAAGGTATGTATACAAACATCTGAATACTGAAATATAAAACTATAACAAGTGAAGCTAATAAGAAAAGAATCTTGCATATGAGAAGAATACATGTATTAATAAATTTGCTTCTGTAGTTTGGCTGCCTAATGTAAAATCAGCTGGCTTCGGAGCTTCCAAAATAAAAAATACTGTCTATTATCCCATAAAATTTAGTGTCTTAAAACATTTGAAAGCATTTTGTTTATAAGAATATTATGAGCTAAGAGCATACAGTGGAGATTCCTATTTATAATAAATATGATCACATTAAAATATTCCTGTAATTTTATGATTATGTACCCATCTAGAAGGTGTAATGTTGGAGGGGCACGTTTTGAAACAATGTGTAATTTCAGAGTTTCCATGAGGAGAATTTAAAATCAGTCCTTATTTTCTTTTGCAGTATGCTCTTCTGGCCGTAATGGGAGCATATGTTCTATTGAAACGTGAATCCTAAATTTAAGAATGCAAAAAGGAGAGAGAAAGAGAGCGCCGCCACTTTTCCAAGAATGAAGTTAAATATACTGGGAAAAAATAATATATTTCAGATATTTTAATTTCTGTATACAGTTGTGAAACTGTGCAACTTTTTTCTTGTCTAAATAAACTGTACAGCTAATGAGTAGAGCTTCTGACTGTTGGTTAATGATGCAATTGCTTATTTCCAGCCCGTGCAGCTCCRTGTCCGAGTCGCTGGCTGCTCGGCCGCTGCCGGAGACAGTGCCGCCCACGGAGCTGCCTGCGGCTCCGTGCACGCAGGAGGCAGCCGATCCAGCCCTGCTCCCCGCCGCGTCCTACCTTACTTTGCCTGATTGTTTTAACCTCTGGTCTTCTCTGTGCTACCCTGGGGACACAACATGCGGGTCGGAACAGGTAGCAAGGTGTAATTTAGTCACACTTAGGCCTAACGATGCGGTTGCAGTGTGCTCCGAGGGAAGGAGACAGGAGACTCCACTGTGGCCGGAGCCTTTGGGTTTTCTCTGCACACCTGAAACTTGCTCCCTTGTGGTCAAGGGACAAAACCCTTGATTTCACAACGAAGGGCTGTCCGTGTTTCTAGTGCTCAGGCCATTAACCTCATGGGGCCTTCATGCAGTACTCTTTCTAAAAAGGATTTTTAGGAAGAGTACTAAAAAGGAATTTTAGGGGAAAAGGATGTTTTGGGGATTTACTTACACTGAAAATTTCTGTACGAGAAGCACTATAGTGTACTTGGGTGATATTATTGCTAATGAGGAGAAACATCATTGATATTCCAGCCCTGAAAATGTGGGCTTCCCTCCTGTCATGTGATAACTGAAGAGTGTTAAATATAAAATTGATTTTTCATTATAAAGTTTAACCTGTCTTACATGAAATTCTGGACTTTTCTCTTCTTGGCTTCAAATATCATTATTGTACCTTCAGCACAGCAGAAAATGTTATCCTTGCTTGCTTTGGGTTTTCAGCTTTGATGAAGAACAGCATGGAGCTTCTTTCCTGTTGAGTTTTGTTTCTTCTGTAATCCCTCACCTCTACAAACTATAATATTTTGCAATAATGGCACCCCTTCTRTTGAAACTACCAGTGTTGAAAGGCAGACAACTCCTGAATTTTTCCAAGTAATATTCCTCCTTTTGTCTCTTAGTAAGAACTTTTCACAACAAACTGTATTATAAAAATGACTTATTTTGTATCAAATTGGTTAGAAATAAAATTGTCTATAAAAAAAATGCATGTCATAATAGTTTAGATATTCTTAATGCAATCTTCCTGGAAGGGTACCGTCATAGCTAAGAAAAAAAATAATTTAATTTTGGAGGCAGTGTATGGGCAGCAGGGATTTTGTTGTTGTTTTCTTCAAAAATTGGAATTTATCTCTCTCCCCTCTACCTCTCATGCAATCTGCATCAGCTCTAATTTTGCAAGTGGAGTTTTGGACGTAACCCAGAGGATGGATTCAACGTGTGGTTACGGAAATTTTTCCTTGTGTTGAGGACTAGTGATGACAAAGAAGGATAATATCTAGATGTGTGGATTCATGCTCAGGGAAAAGAGATCAACCTTTGTGCTGAGACAAGAGTGAGAGGAAAGGAACTTTTCCAAGCAACTTCTTCCTYTGTGAAGCTTTCTCTCATGTGCAGGAGAGAAGTGCTCCCTAATGATGACTTATCCTGCCACCTGCTTTACCAGTCTGGTGGTGGTGGCTCAGATGCTTTGGATCCCTGGGTTTGGAGGATCCGTGGATGAACTAGGGTTGTAGGGTCCTGCTTAACGGCGCTGCGTCCCCTGGCTGCGCTGCCTGTGCGGGAGCGGTGCCAGCCCGGGCAAAACCAGCACCTGTTCCGGATCTGGGAATCAGCATCCTTCTAAAATTTGTCCTATCAATATTCTGTTGGTGACTAGCAGGCTTGCCCTGTCTGTGAGGAACCAGTGCTACTTTGTTCTCTGATGTCTGCTCTGTTCAGGTCTATGGATGGTCAGGGATTGCGCAGGACTCGGGGGATGGATTGCTCTCAACTTGGATTCCCATAATTGCCCCCTTTAAGCAAACTATTTCTGCTTCTTATRATTGAGTCAGGCAGTGCTGCTTGCTTGGTAGCTACCAGCGGAAGCTGCAGGGAGAAGTGCAAGAGATTTTGCACTGAATTTCTGATATTAAATCCTTTCCTTCTGACAGAGAAAAGCCTGAAATTTTTTAGTTCTCAGGCTGGTACTGAAGATAAGAGCTTTGACAGTGAAATGCATATCAGGAGGATGTTTTCTTTCTGTTGTAAATTGCACTGTGATTTAATGTCTGTTAGATATTATTATTTTCATGGAGATAATGCTGTTTCCTGTCTGAGATGTTCTGCAACTGGATGTTAGGAGCTTTTCCTACCAGTCTTGCTGAGAAGCAGCCCAGAGGTGAGGCAGGYGACGCGGAGGGACACTCAGCAGGGCCGCAGCGGTGCCCGCCCGCCCTGGGCACGCGGCTGCCCGCGGCCTGGCCAGCGCCAGCCCTTCCCCGTGCGCTGAGCCTGACAGGCACCCGGGAGCAGCCGCCTGCTCGAGCTGCGCGGCGGCAGCGCCCAATTCGGCCTTTCTCCRTGGGCACCTCGGGATCGGCTGCGCTGGGGCTGTGCCGTGTGCCCGGCGGAGCCAGCAGCCAGGGCGCACCGGGAGAGGTCAGTGCCACATCCACTGTGCACCTGGCAAGTCAGGTGGCAGTGTGGTCCCGCAGTGGACAGATCCTCCAGTGACACCCTGGAGCAAAGACTTTGGGACCCATGGGGCCGTGATGGASCAGGCAGGGAACACGCTGCATTCCGCAGGCTCCGCCTGCAGCCGGCTGCRTTCGGCCCTGGCCAGGCCGCTTTGGTGCCACTGAGCAGCACAGACTGTGCTGGCACCTGCCCTGGGCAGTGCTCTGCAGCCTGGGCCTTCCCAAAGGCGCAAGAGCCGGGCACGGCTCACAGTGGCTCGGGATGCCCCTGGACCTGGTGAGACGCCTGGCAGGCTCCCGCGCTCTCACGGTGGCAGTGGCAAGTTGGGATGGACCCGCGTCCACCTAGCACTGTGTTTAACCAACATAATGCTCCACCGGGATGCAGAGCGTGTTTTCCTCTGCACGCATGAGCTTTATCACTGCTTTTGTAGATCCTACAGCCCAAGCAAACAAGGCACCAGGCACCTGCGTGATAGAAACTTCCACACCTTTCTCTTCCACAAAGCTTGGCCGGATCAAACAGAAACCCCTGTCGTCACTTGCGCTTGGCCATGGATTTTGTGCACCAGCCATGGCAACCTCTCTACCATTTGTGCATGATTGGGGGATCAGCAGAAATGACAGGTATTTGGTAAGTGTATACACATATCTATTCTTCATGCAGATATGTAAGAATGTGGTGTAGTCCCATCACCAAGAGCTGCCTGGAMCGGCTGCCCGCCTTCCCCACATGATGCCCTGGGCTCCTCAGGGCACTTGGGGCTCCTGCTGCATCCTCCCTTCAGGCACCCCCAGCCATACATGGATGAAAAGCAATAGTGGGGAAGCAGAACTTCTACTTTCTTCAGTGCCTGTTTTCTCTGGATTTAGCCCCAAATTAGCCCAGAACTGGAGTATTGTGTCCAGTTCTGGGCTCCCCAGKACAAGAGKGATGTGGAKCTGCTGGAGAGAGTCCAGCGCAGGGCTACCAGGATGATCAGAGGCCTGGAAYATCTACCATATGAACAAAGGCTGAGAGAGCTGGGCCTGTTCAGCCTGGAGAAGAGRAGGCTGAGGGGGGACCTGATCAGCGTGTATAAATACCTCAAGGGAGGCAGTGAGGAGGAGGGGGGCGGCCTCTTTTCAGTGGTGGACAGTGATAGGACTAGGGGAAATGGCTTCAAACTGAAGCATCGGAAGTTCCACAGGAACTTAAGGAAGCATTTCTTCACTGTGAGGGTGACAAAGCACTGGAACAGGCTGCCCAGAGAGGTTGTGGAGTCTCCTTTGGAGATCTTTAAAACCCGCTTGGATGCAGCCCTGTGCCACGTGCTCTAGGTGACCCTGCGTGAGCAGGGGGGTTGGACTCGATGACCTCTGAGGTCCCTTCCAACCTTCGGCATTCTATGATTCTATGATTCTATGATTCTATGATTCTATGATTCTATGAATTAGTGAGTTGGCAGACGGGTCATCTGCTCTCTTGCTGCACTAGGGCAGCTGCAGCTATTGCAGAGAGCAAGCACCATGGCCGACATGGGAGCATGAGCCCAGTCCCATCTGGGAGCGGGACAGACATTGTGCCCATGCTCCGAGATGCTGGGAAGCAGCTCCTGCCGCGCTTGGCTCACGGGCTCCCAGCAGAGGAGATGGTCCCCRTGTGCGGTGCCGCAACCTGGCTCAGCCTGTGGCCAGCTGGAAGCAAAGTGTGTGAARATATCAAGGCAGCAAATTAATCCATGTTGCTGTAACAATTGTCTTTAAAACCCATTACAGCTTTCCAGCCACGAAGCACAAGTGTCATTCACTGGGCCATGGGGATGGATGCACAGAGAGCAAGAAAAATGTCTTTGAAGGAGGAGCGCGGTTTCTTGAAGCTCAAACACAACTTGATGTTGATGGAGTCCCCTGCAGGGAGGGAAGTCTTGTCCCAGATGGATGTCCACCAGTGATGCATGCGCATGCTGTGCCCTGGTCCCTCTCCGCTGTGGGCTCCCCATCTATTMTTTCTATATGTATCTGATTATTTTCTCCTGAAAAGGCTAATACAGAAAGAGGAGTTGCTAGAATGACTCCAAGTGATGCTGCTTCCTCTCCTCCACTGCCCAAGGACCCCCTTGCATTGGAGCAGCTCAGACATGCATCTCACCTGGTTGCTCCCTGTCATTGCAATGCTCCTCTCGGCACCATCATGTTCAGTCTGATGTCAAACATCTATGAACTGGGACAGTTTGGAGTCCGCAGTTTGGGATGGCTTAGAAGGACTTTATGGTTTCATTTCTGGGGGACAGGGTTGCTCTGCTGGGGACCTGTGTGAAGCTCCTCTGCCCATCACTGGCAGAGATGGGCAGTTGGAAGAGCTAGGTCGGCCTGCAGGAGAGAAAGCTGGAGGTGAGGATAGGACAGGGCATTCAGCTGTCCCCAGACCAGGGCCAGGGGTGCTGGGTGGCAGGCAAAAGGCAGCAGGCACAGCCTGAAACATGGGAAAATCCTGAAACACGGGAAATTTCCTGAGCTCAGGAAAATGCTTTGCTGGGAGGATGATGATCCAGTGCTGGAGCAGGTCGGCCAGAGAGGTGATGGAATCTCCATCCTTGGAGATACTCAAACTGGCCTGGACTTGGTCCTGAACAGGATGCTCCAGAGCTGGATGGAGCTGGGCTGGAACCAGATTGGACCAGTGGATCCAGGGCTCCAGGTCTAGCTGCTCCATGGGTTGCCGGCGTGCAGGAAAGCGACCACCACGGGGAGGCTCTTGCCGGCTGCAGGAAGCGAGGACGGGGCAGCGGCTGCTCCATGAGCATCAAGTGCTCCCAGTGCCTGGCCATGCTCAGACTGCCCAGGGACCCTGGCCTCCATCCCAGAAATCCTGAAAACATCCGTATGTTCCAGACAAACACATCCCTCTGTTTGAAAAGCCAATGCTAATTAAAAAGAAAATCCAACCCCAGAGTCAACTGGCTCTCTAACTCAGTATTTTTCACTGTAAGTCTACTGATCAAAGGGCAAAATAAATTAAATTTTTCTTAAGTACACAACGCAAGACACAAAAGGGGAAGGGCATGAGCAATTGTCTCAAATTGAAGCAACTATCCCCAGAGCAGAGCTGTTCCACAGCAACCAGGCTTGGGAAAGCCTGCCCTGCTTGAGGTGATTTTCTCCAAAAACAGAGATTCCTTGATTTTTCATGGTGCCTAGATAGGATTTCCCACAGATTTTCCACCACATTCCTCAGCTGCTGCTCGGCCCACAGCGCATGTCCTGCCCAAGGTGGAGCCCTTACAAAGGTGCAAGGATGCTACTGTAAATTAAACTGGAATGTATAATTAAATAACTGCAACCACAGGGTGAATCCCACTAGGCAGCAAAAGCAGATTCAAACAGCTAGCACCCAAGGAGGGAACAGTTTAGCTCCTGTAGGACACGGTCAGCTCCAGAGGGATTGTCCAGGGTAATGCTCTCAGAGAGCAGCCTTGGAGCGGTACCTGTCCAGAGCACAGCACGGCGCTGCTGCAGGATCAGCTGCAGGATGCGACGCTGCCTTGCAGCTAGTGCTGCTGCCCTCATCCCCGTCCCTCCGCACAGGGAGGCTGTCACGCACCAGGTGGCTCCACGCAGCTCCATGGTGCCAGCTCCTCCAGGGAAAGCAGCTCCAAGCCCCACTCCTCACCCACCTGCTGCCCCCCCAGCCACTTGCCCATCCCATCATCTTCAGGCCGGTCCTTGTCCTTGTGGCTGATGGGTTTTTGCCTGCTACCCATGAGGGAGTTGGGCAACTGCAGGGCCTTGGAGCCCCATGGGGTTCATGTCGTGTCAGCATGAGGCAGGGAAAACATCTCCTAAATGTGAGGATCATGTTCATGATTTCTCTGACAGTGAACATGTGGGAAATTAAGACCAACTCTACACAAGATTGGCTCTTTCAATGAGCAGGTCCTCTGGGTTTTGTCATTTTAAAGTGATTTGTCCAGTTTAAAAAAAAAAGGCAAACCTGGCTTCTTCCCCACGAGATTTTGTACAATGTTGCCAACTTGCAGTTTTAGTCACTCAGAGCCCCACCAACTTGTAGGGCTGTTTCCATGCATTCTGTGCAGAAGACTGCATGCCCCCTTGGGCGACACAGGGCCGGCGAGAGTGGAGCCGCGCCCGCTCCCACCCCACTCGTGTCCGCACCTCGCGGGGGGTCCCAGGAAAGGCAGTGGGGGGAGGAGCTGCCACCCCCGTGGCACGGAGGAGGGTCGGGGGGTGGGGGGGGCGCGGCCCCGACGGCGGCTCCGCACGGAGGCGGCGGCCGCGGGAGCCCCGCGCGCTCCCGTCCCGACTCCCTATAAAGGCGGCGGCGGCAGCAGCGGCTCCGCGTGTCCCGGCAGCTCCGCAGCCGCTCGGAGCCCCTCGGGCCGCGCAGCGCACGGAGCTCCGGCCGCACCATGGGCGGCCCCGACCCGCGGCGGCCCCACGCGCTGCCGCTGCTGGCGCTCGTGGCGCTCGCGGCGCTGGTGGCGGCGCGGGGCGACGCGGCGCCGCTGCAGCCCGGCGGCTCCCCCGCGCTCACCAAGATCTACCCGCGCGGCAGCCACTGGGCCGTGGGTAAGTGCCGCGTCCCGCGTGTGCCCGCGACGCCCGCACGGGGCCGAGCCGCGAGGAGCTCCCGAGCCGCCCGCAGACCCCGAGCCGCGCGGAGCGCCCGGTGTTCGGCGCTGCTCGAGCCCTCCCCTCCGCGGAGCCTCCTGCACCCGCTCCGCGTCCCAGAGACATTGGCCATTTCCTTTTAGTGGCCGCGGGGCCGGGGACAGGAGTGGGCAGCGAGCTCCGCTCCGGGAGCGGCTCTGCGGGAGCTGCCGCAGCCCCGTCCAGGCAGGAAGGGTCAAACCTGCTGCCCSTCCGACAGCTCCTCGATCCGGCGGCTCCTCCCGGCAGCGCACCKGGCTCTCGCTCTCCGCAGATTTACAGCAAAACACGTGGGGATTTACTTGTGTGCGACACAGAGACAAAATCCCCAGTCCCAGGCCTGCTTCAACTTTGATATCATCTGGCTTGCATCTTTTCTAATTTCATGCTGCTCTGTTGTTCTTACAGGACATTTAATGGGGAAGAAGAGTGCTGAAGATTTCCCCTATGTTGATGAAGAAGAAAACAAGATCTCACTTTCAGTGTCACCTGAAAATACCAAGCAGCTGAAAGACTATCTGCAGCGGGAAGAAATCTACAAAATACTAAAGCGGATGGAAGGAAATGAGAATAAAAATGCTCATGTCTTAAAAAGAGGGCTTCCCTGGTACACCAAGAGCGCCTGGGAGATGGATGGTGGTAGCAACAAGGAGGATGTAAGTTTACAGTAAAAAGATTCTGTATATATAACACTTATTTTACAGTGACATCTCAGCTTTCTTTAATTAGAGATTGACCAGAAAATTAGCAAGAATATGTCTAACGAAGAAGTTATTTGGTAGAAGTTAGACCTTACTCCTGAATTACAAATTGTCCATCATAAAGTTTCTCTGACGAATTCCCTTGCCGGTGGGCAGATGCACAGCAGCGTTGTATAGGTTATGGTGTCTGTGATCTGTGCAAGGTGATTGGCAGGTCTTTATTTTTATTTCCTGGCACTCTGTGCTTGGATGATCTGTTCAACGCCAAAGTGTGAACCAGCTCAGAAGGATCAAAGTAGCGCAAAGCGGCCAGGGCTGCAGGAGCAGGAGGATGGCAAGGGGCTTGTGCATGAGATCACATGGTCATGGCCATCCCCAGCAACCCTTCGTGCTGCCCTTATCCTGCTGCCTGGTGCCACAGAGCAGGCACGCAGAGCGGCGGTTCTGCTCCCTGCTCTGCCCCTGTCTCGTGCAGCCCCCTCGGGGCACTGATGTCCCCAGGGGCTGCTTCCGACCGCCGCGGTGGCCACTGCCGAGTTTGTGATGTGAGGCTGTGGCCACTGACAAGTTGTTGTTGTGCCTGGGACCTACCTCATATTCCTCCTCTCCTATTTATGAACGTGCTGCTTGTTCACAAGAGAACAAGACTTTGGAACAGATTTGATCCTGCTATTTTGGAAGATTTTGTCAAATATACTTAGTAGTGAGGTTTTACAGAAATTAACTGGGGTAATGAATTAACACATAACCTGCCACATCTATAGAAAATTCCTTTCTGTATATTGTATGAGGTACAGTAATGCAGGTATGGCTACAGAATTCTTCTGAGTGACCTTGAAATGGTGCAGAAAGATTAACATTCTCCCTCAAAGATGTTGGGTTTCTTCTGTAATTCTGCTGCGATGTGCTGTGGTTCCAATCCTGAGGTAATTTCACTGAGATTGAAACACTATGAAGTCAGAGAGCACTTTGTCATTGACTTCAATACAGATACAGATTCACCCATTAAATAAAACCATGATTTAAATCTTTTACCGCTGATATGAATGCTGACCATATATTTCTTTCTGGTTTTGTGACTGTGACACTTTTATAATAACTGTGACTAATACTATCTAAACTATTTATCTTATCTTTATTTCTGWGGTGTGCAGCTATATAATCAAGTTATATGGGCAAATTCCGTTATGCTATATACAAAAGAACTATTTTGACTTTTAAAACTATCTGGTAATAAATTGTACTTAAGACTATATGTTTATGCAGTAAACTGAATTGTGTCCAGATGTATATACTTTTATCTTTAATCCACATTTTTGTAGATGGACATTGAATATGTACATAAACTGCTGAGACTATTGCCTTAGATTTCCAGGATCCTCCAATGAGTGGTAAAACTTCTATGAAATTAAGATATATGGCAATGTGCAGAGCTCCATTCTGTGGCAGAGCTGGTAGTCTCTGGCATTCAGCAATTAGTTTGTCTCTACCCAGAGTAGAGGGTCTGAAATTCTGAAAGGAAGATGTAACTTGTGCTTTCCTCTAGCTGGACACAAATACGCCATTATATGCAGGCTGCCTAATATAACATAGATACAAGTCACATATACATAACATAGATACATATTGCATATACATAACATACATATTGATTTTCTATTAGCTTCAGTTAAGGAAAAAACAGGCATTTCAAAATCAAACCATGCATCTTTTTGAGATCTGCTTTCCAGGGATAGAAGACATACAGGTCAAAATAATGTCCTTTACTTTTTAGACAGCTTTAATAGTTTAGTAGCTTAAAATTAATTGCAGTTTGAAGCAAGGACCTGTTGTAGGGGGATAGGATGCTGTGTTTCCAGCAGTCAGTGTTCACTGCCAGCAGGTGGGATAACCATTCCAGAGCTCTTCGTGGTTGGTCTGTGGTTCTCCCAGCCCAAGGGTCCTTGCTGAGGTGCTGCCATCCGCATGTGACAGGCATGTTCCTGTCTGCTGAGTGGAAGGGAAGGCAGACAGGTGCTGTGGGAAATAAATGAACTCACAAGGGCTTTATTTCATGGACTGTTGATTTAATTTAAAATTTAAATTCTAAATTAGGTATCAGAAGTTAGGACCTCCAAGCTAGAGGCTGCAGAGGGAAATACTGATAAGCACTTCAGGTAACTGGGTTCYGGTCTGGCTCAGGTTCTTTTGATGCATTGTTCACCAATGGTGCTCAGGAGCAAAGGCAAAAATTCCCTTCAGAAAAACAAAAAAGCTGTAGGCTACAAATAATCAAAAAAGCCCCATAGAGATGGGCAGAATAGTTCTCCAGCTCAGTGTGCTACACCTGAACTCTTTTCTTCTGTTTTCATTTAGCACCAAGCAAATTAAGACCTTGCTGCTCTTCATTCCACTGATGAGTTGCTATTAAAGGCATTAAAAATCAGAAGGAAATATCTTGCTTTTGCAAGTTGGCTTAAGTGTAAAAATATCTTGGAAATAAACCTCAAATCATTTCTGTGCCTTGACTTTTAACACTAACAAGTCATTATACAAATGAGATGGCAGGCGGAATTGCAGGGAGAATGGCTTTTCTCCTACTTGGGCAGTCAGTTTTTAAGCTAACCAAAACAAATGGGGTCTGTGATGGGAAGATTATGAAGCCTGTATTTGATATGCCAACACAGAGCGGTTATATATTGGGCTTATTAACTTAGTGAGTGACTTTTGTCAGCATTGCTCTATAAACACTATTCATCTCTTCTTATTAGATGACAGAGTATCCGCTGCAAGTTGTGAACATGAAGGAAAGCCCACCGAGCTGAAGGTCTCTCAGCCTTGAAGGAAGGGGTAACTTCCRCAAGAGACTATGTTTCACAAGCTCCTGATTGTATCCGGTAGCCAACAAGGTTTCTATTCTGTAAACAAGATTTCCTTTGTGTAAAATATCTAAATACACATTCTTGTGTGTCTCACCATTCACCAAACTCTCTATTTGTTTTCAGAGTTGCATTTTCTTGCTTCAACTGCTTTGGTATACATAATTGTCAAGGAAGGGTCTTCCAATGAATTAAATGACTTACCTGTCCAATCAGTTCACCTCTTAGTTTGAAATAACATGATTTTTGAACATTCACAATAAATAATACTAAGAAAAAGGCTGAGTTGGTGCTTTTGTCTGAGTTAACAAAATGGAAGTTGACCGAGCCATTGCAAACATGGGAATGATTCATTTTTGTACTGTTGTTTTCCTTCCGTGAATGAAGGTGACAGTGTCCCCCAGGGCTCAGGGAACATGACACACCGCTGCCTGTCCCAGCATATGGGCTCCCTGGGTATATGTGCTTAAGGATGTGACACGTGGCTTCCAAGCACTGCAAGCCTACAGGGCCAAACACTGGGAGGCCCAGAGGTTGCTCAGGAGGACAAGGAAGACCCAGCACTTTTGTTGTCCTCTCCTCACAGGAGAAGCCAAGAAGCAATAAGAACAAGCAGCACCTCCCAGGGCAGCTCTGGAGTCATTTACCAGCCCCAGGAGCAGGGAACAGCAGCCCTTGCTGAGCACTGGGCTCAGCGTGGCTGGTGAGGACATCCCCGCTCCTCCTGGAGAGCAGCCACTACCTGCGCACCCTAGAGACCTTGGGTGGGACACGGGTGAAGCAGGACGTAGGGCACAGACCCCTTGCAAGRGGGCTCCCAGGGGCTCTACCTGAGTCCTCTCATGCCACCTCCCTTGGGGACTGCTGGGTCCCCAAAGTGCTGCTCTCGCTTGCAGCTGCGATGGCACCACACACGCAGCAGATGAGACATAGCGATTGCTGAGCTGGCTGTGAGCTCTGCATTCAGCAGCACCGCACCAGCACCCACGGGCACCAGGGAGCACGGGTCCCACGGCACTGCAGCCATCTGATGAGTCAGGAATGGCGGGAGAGACCCCTGGTCCCACTGCGGATGCCTAGAAGAGAGAGTTTTGCATTTAAAAACACATGAAATGATGAATTAGTTAAATTTTGCACAAACTGATAGCAAGTGACTTTGCACAAACGACCTGTCAGAAGCTGGAATTATCCCGTGTGAGCAGGAGGCTCTTTCCTGTATTAAGAAACAAAAACCAGGACACTGGACCTACAGGGACGGGCCAGGACTTGAGGTTTGCTCTGGACCGGTGGGACAGGCCGGAGCCACGGGGCAGGGCAGCCCCGCGGGACGGGGTGGGACCCGCGGCCGCCCCGCCCGGCGCCGGCAGGCGGCGCCCTCGGCCCAGGCACCGCTGCGGGCGGCGGCCCCGGCCCCGGCCCCGTGCGCGGCGCCCCGCGCTGCCCGCCGCGCTCACGTGTCCCCGGCGTGCGCGTTGGATGAAGGGCGGTCTAAATAAAGCCCGGGTTCACGGTGAGGAGCCCTCGCACTCGGCGCTGGGCAAAACGGTGGAGAAAAAGACTCTGCGGTAGCGACCAGGAGCACGGACGGTCTGCAGGGCWGTGACTGCTTGCATGCTTCATCTGAGATCTTCTGAGTCCTGCAGTTGATCCCATTTATCTCGGGAGACATCCCGCTCTATGATGAGCCCAAAGGGGGTTCCTGAAATATTTAGCTGCTTACCCAAGATTTTTATAACTCAGACATGCTAATCGTGTACTTTTCTGCAAGTCTCTCCATGTCTCTGTCTGAAGGATAGAACATGTGGASACAGACAGCACTTTTTGGGTGCAGCTTGACCTCTGCCAAGTCATTCCATTTGTCTCAGCGTGGTGCTAGGTTGGGACAGCCCCAGTGTAGTCCTTTGCTGGAAGAGGGAGAAGAAGGATTGCTGCCCAGAGAGGTGACAGGAGGAGGCGGGAGGATGAGTCCTCTCTTGGCAAAGCAGCTGGAAGGGTTTTGTTTCCCCATGCTGCTTGTGCTGTGTTCAGCGTGATGCAGTTCAGMGCCTGGGTGAGGGGCCATCTGGGAGGCATCCCACATATAGGGTCAGCCTTCCCTTCCTGGAAGCCATGGAGGGAATCCGTGGCAGCACAAGGGACACTCTGCAAAGCAGCCCCAGGAGGTCCTCACACAGACAGAGTCCCTGGAACAATGGGTGCAAGTGCTGCACATGTGAGTGAAGGGACAGAGTGGGCCCATGAGCCAGGGCGCTACCTGGGAGATGTTTGGGCAGGCGCCAGGTGGGATCCTGCTCACCGGCCCCACAGAACACAAGACCTCAGGGACCCTGTGAGCTTGCGCCAGGGCAGCTGGCCAGGGCAAGCTTGCTCCTCTCACCGGGCAGGTCTCAGAAGGCACCCATGTGTGCAGGGACTCACTCATGCCATCCCCATCTGAGCTTGAGTGGACCATGTTTCTCCATGTCTCAATTTCCCTGCATGCAAAATGACATTCCTCTTTTCAAGGGGCCTGTGGGTAGCTAGCAGCAAACTGACRTTCTGGGATACTCTTTACTTGAAATTCTTGCTCAAGAGCAGCATCCCTCCTGCCCAGAGCTGCTCTTTCTCCCTGGGAAGGGGGAAGGAGCCAAGGAGGGACCTTCCCAACAGGACCAGGCGCCACCTCTGCGCCCACCCAGACGCCCTCCCTCAGCGGCCTCACTGCTCCCTGCCCCGACCCAGCTCCTGCTGCCTCCTGTGCTTACCCTCCCTCTCGACGGAAGGCCCAGGAGACCCTCAAGGTCACCCTCCCCGTCTGGCCTCCATCCTTGGCCTGCACAGCACCAAGTGCTTCAGAGTTCAGTGTCCTTAATGAGCAGATATGTCATATGGCAGAGGGATGAGTACTTAATGTCACCAAGCCTGCACACCGTGTGGTGGCAGGGCACAGAGAAGAGCTGCAGTGTTCATTCTCCCAGAAGAAACAGGGATGTTATCAGGGTGATGATCCTGGTCAAAGCAATGTCTCCTGCTGTGTTTTCTGTCCCCCTTTTTTTTTTTTTTTCCTTTATTCCATCATTTTTTCTCTTATAAGAGGATTTTTCAGTGACTAGTGAATCATGGAAGGAAGCTGATGAAGCTCCAAGATCTCATGGGGTCCCAGGAGTGTGGGAGCAGGACCCTGCAAGGCTTAGCTCATCCTAAGCACAGGTGAGTGCAGTTTTGCCACTTGCCACAGTCCTGCAGCTCAGAACAGGCAGTTAAGCTATGGCCAAGGCTGCGACCTGCTGTGGCCCTGGCCATGGGCAGGTGCCAGGGCAGCCCCCAGCTCCTGCTGGGGTCACTGAGCCCAGAGTCATTCCACTGGGCTCCTTCCCAGGCCTGGCTCAGCCCTGTGCTGGGAGCCCATCGTGCGCCATGGAAAGGGCCAACTCGAACCTCACAACAGCACTCTGGGCTTGCCCGGATCCCCAGGGGATTTGGAGCAGGGTGAGGGGGATCATTGAGTATGCACTTTCTGCTTGAGAAATGCTGGTGTGAGGACCAGGTTTCAGGCTGACATTTTTCACATGATTATTAATTCGGAGTCCTTCAAAGCTCTTTGTGAATGTTTTCTCCTCTGCATAGCTCAGGCCGGCGCCCATGCAAAGCTTTGCAGCATGTATGAGCTTGAGGCTTCGGACCGAGCAAAGACGGCCCAGCCTCGCAGAAAGACTCCCCTGGAACGAGCAGCCACCACAGAGCTCTCCACATTTCACATCCTAATAACAAGTCACCAGGGATTAGCATCACCTGCCAGCGTGGAGACTGCTGTGCGGTGGGGACTGACTTTGCTTTCCCAGAACACTGGCGCCAAAGGGGAACACCTACGGGTCTACGTAATGTAGGTAGATATGTGAGCACCCATCTTCTCTCCAATTGTAGAACATGGTGCTCAGACCATGTTGAGTTTACCTGGACACGTGTCCAGAAGCTCCCCCAGCAAACGCAGGGCCCTTGAGAGGCCTGTGCATCCCACAGAAAGGAGGGGGGGCGGATGGGGGGAGAGTTCCTCTCCCCAGGGCCACGGTCTGCCTGGGGGGAGCCCAGGACGTGGAAGTGTTTGGCCCCCTTGGTGCTGCCCGGCCACAATGCCTGGGGACAGGGCAGCCCGACCTCCTGTCCCATAGGGGAAAGGGAGACAGTGATGTCAGAGTTGTTTTTTTAATCTTTTTGCTTGCAGACTTTTATTGGTATAATTCTTCCCTTAAAAGATCAGATGTGGCAAGGAATTCAAATATAGACAGTAAAAATACTGTCTTGCTAAGACAGGTTAAGCAAAAGAAGAAATAGCTCACTCAGAAAGGCTGGGCTAATAGCCTTAACAAAGTTAGAGTAAAGAAGTGGTTAAGGATCTAGATGATTTAATCCAGTTTTAAGAAAAGGTTTTACAGTGAGCAATTAGATGCTGGTTAAGGAATTAATCACTAATGGGTCATTAACTCTGACTGCTATTGTACAGTTAACAAGCTGAGGCAGGATTATTAGACTCAGCACCCAATTAAGGAGGAGGAGATATTTACAATAAACTGAACAAATGGGCTTTTAAAATGAAATGGGACAGTTTGAAAGAAAGTGTACGAACACAGAGAAACAGGGAAGGTACAAAGAAGATGCAAGTTTGCATATGCCAGGTTGTGTTGCTTCATTCACTGGGAAAATATTTCCCTCTCTGTGCCCACTTAGCCATGCTCAGCTCGTTAAAAACGTTTTTAGTGCTTTCCTGAAGGACATGAGTGCACACAGTCTATTCCTGTGGGTAACGAACCCGCTGCGGGGTCCGTATGTGCAACATATGACAAAAGAGCTGCTTAATGTATCGCTAGAAGAACTGTTGCCCAATGCTGACATACATTCTTTTTTTTAAACCGTTTTTCAGCTTACAGGCATTGGATCAACAAATTAATAAATGTGAATAGGTCTCTTCAACTGCTGTCTCTGCTATTCTCTCTCCTGTTGCTCCTAGACCGTCCCAACAAATTGGTGYCAACTGCAGTGCTGATCAACAAGGGCCCAGGGACCTTGCGGGGAGCCGGGAGCAGCCGGAGTTGCACGGGCAAAAGCCGTGACGAGATGCCACACGCTCCTGGGCCACTCGATCCATCGACAGCATAACCTGGGAGCAGCATCCAGGCCACGGAGGAAGATGCCAAGTAAGGGTCTGGGCCCTGCCCCACAGCCAGGACTCGGCGGAGCCGCGGCGAGTGGTACCACTCCAATCAGAACCTGGGCATTGCTGTCCAACGGGATCTGCCGCTCCCATCAGAGCCTGGCTTGTCCCTGGCCCCTTCCAGCCAGCATGGCAAGGGCTGCAGGTGCTGCAGCCACCCCCTGCAGACTTGCCGGGGCTCAGCCCTGCGGTGATGGGAGGACAGGGCTGTCCCAGCGCACAGKGATCGCCCCAGCGCCTGCATGGGCAGCCCTGGTAGCACAGCCGGCGCTGCCGGGCCCAGCAGGGAGGGATGTTTGGAAGAGCCACCGAGGGCTCCAAAACTCCTGAAGTGAAGCCAGGCACAGCCTCTAAGGTATGCGCAGAGCTGGAGCCAAGACAAGGGGTGGCCCTTGTGCAGCCTGTGTGGGAAGCAGTGCCATGGGGGGCTTCAGCCCACACTGAGTCACCTGCACACAGAGGGGACTGTGCAGCCCCCTCATCCCTAAGGAGAAGCATTGTTGCTGCAGCTGCAGGGTCTGCAACACTGCCCCTGGATCCATTACGGCCATAACCAAGAGGAAGGAAAATACGGATGCCACAGTTTTAATTCTGGCAGCACAGCATGGCATGGGCAGCAGCACTGGGGCAAGGACTGTCTCAGCACCCGCAGTGCCTACGGGATCCACCAGATGAGTTGTTCCACAGAGCTGCTGCAGCCCCTGGGCCAGACAGGTGAAGCCCCATGCCCCACRGTGCCCTGCCCAGCTTCGAGAAACACCAAGCGTGGCCTCCACATAGGTTGTGCCATTTAATGGTACAAAACCAGAAAAAAACCAAMCAAACAAACAATCAATGCAAGGTAATGCAGTTCTCGAGTGCCAGCCACTTGCCCAGCTCCTCGCCCTAGCGCAGCTTTCCTCACAAGTGTCTGTTGCAGGAGGGAGAGCATGTAGGTTGCTCCTACACTACTCGGCCGGCAGTGCAGTGGGCAGGGCAGGAGCCCAGAGAGCCGCAAATGCCAAGCGAGCCGGGTGAGTGGCCCTGGTGCCATCCCCAGCAGTCCCGCGGCACCAGCCTGTCCCAGCCCCCCAGCCGGGCCCTGCACGGCGCAGGGTGCTGCAGCTCAGATGGTCTGCCAGGGCTTGCCCATGGACTGGATGTGCTCCTTGGCTTTCATGCGTAAGGCGGCAATACTGGTGTTGCGCGGGTCTGCTTCGTCCAAGGGGAACTTGTCCACAAAGGTGGCCCCACACTGGTAAGGCGGTGGTGGCGGCCCCATGGCGCCCAGGGGCTGCAGGCTGTGGGTGACCGCCGGAGAGTTCAGGAAGGGCGGTGGGGTGTAGCTGCCGGGTAGGCTCTGCGGGGAGGCCACAAAGCCAGGCAGTGTCTGCAGGGCCGTGCCGCCTGGTACCGGCGGGCTCAGCCATGTCTCCAGCGGCAGGTTGCTGCTGAGGGCACCCATGGGTGCCGGCTGCGGCGAGCGGCTGAAGGAGAGGATGGGCGAGTCCTGCAGCTTCATGGAGGTCACCTCCAGCTTCTCCTGCCGCCGCCACTTGGCCCGTCGGTTCTGGAACCAAACCTGCAAGCATGTCTGCGTCAGCAGGGATGCTAGGTGCAGAGGCTTCTCCACAGCACCAGGGACGCGCACAGGGAACAAAGCAAGAATTGGGAGCCGAGAGAGGCAGCACAGGGGTGGGCAGGGAGCTGGGCTCGGAGTCCGGCGGACATGGAGCTGCTCACCTGGCCAGGTGCAGCACAGCACAGCTGGGGAGTACAGCACAGCAGGGCGAGACGCGCAGGGAGAGGGCATGAAGGGCACGCAAGGTGTGTGGAGCCGGGCCCTGCCCGCCAGGCTTGTAGCTGGGCTGGGGCTGCAGTTGGGACTGGGACTGGAGCTGGGGCTGAGGTCTGGATCTGGACTTGATCTGGAGTCGGGGCCGGGGCTGCTGTGGTGGCTGGAGCTGGGATCAGGCTGGGGCTGGCGCCTCGGCTGCTCCCTCAGCAGCTCCAGCCCCACCGCGACTCCAGCTCCCCGGCCGCTGGGGCTGGGACACGCCGGCCACGCGGCAGCGGCGGCGCTGACGCCGGCGGTGAAGGAGCCGGCACCGCCGCGTCCCGCCGGGCCGGGCCGGGTCGGGTCGGGCCGGGCCAGGCCGCGGCCGCTGCGTTGGGGAGGCGCGGGCTGGGGAGGCGCCCAGCGGCCCCGTAGCGCAGCCCCGTGGGACCGTTCCGGCAGCCCCGGCCCGGGCAGCGGCGGGACGGCTCTCAGGACAGGCGGACCGGGCACCGGAGCCGCGCGCATCGGGAGCGCAAGGCTGGGCGTCAGGGCCGGTTTTACCTGCACGCGGACTTCGGGCAGGTTGACCTTCATAGCAAGCTCTTCTCGACTGTACACGTCGGGGTAGTGAGACTTCTCGAAGGCGCGTTCCAGCTCGTGGAGCTGGTACGTGGTAAAGGTGGTGCGGTTCCGCCGGTGCTTCTTCTTGGGCTGCTCCTCGTCCGACGGCTTCCCCTCGCCGCCGCTGCCGGCCGGCAGCTCGGGACTGGCGCCGCCGGGACAGAAGGGCTCTGCGAGGGGACAGCGGCGCTGAGCGGCGCCGGGGCAGGCGGGCGAGGCGCCCCCGGGCCCGTCCCGTCCCACCTCACCTTGGAAGCGCTCGGCAGTGCGGCCCGGCGGCTCGGCGGGCGGCGGCTCTGCGGGCATCTTGGGCAGGCAGACTCGCGGGCCGCGCTTGTCCCCCTCCCGGGCACCGCCGCTGCCGCCGTCGGGTGGGAAGGGGCCGAGCAGCGCGTCCTCCTTGGGGAAGCCTAGGATGGCCTCGATGCTGTGCAGCCTCGACGCGTTCCCGCCAGGGCTCCGCGCCGCTGGCGCGGACAGCGAGAAGGCGCCCTCGGCCATGGCGAGCAGGGCGCCGGGCGGGTGCATGGGGCGGGCAGCCGCGGCCCGGCGCGGCGCTGCGCTCCCGCCTGGCCCCGGGCAGCTCTGCCCCGGCGCCGCCGCGGCCGTTGCGGAGACTAAAACCACGCTTCCC